GTCCTTATGTCTACAGCTCTGTGTCTCCCTTTCTCTCCTCCCATCTGTGAAGCTCAGTTTGCTGGCCCACACAATGTGCCCCCTGGATTGTCATCTTCAGTCTGATCCCAAGGACCAAGACCAACCCACATTAGCATGCGCTTTACACACCAGCACACAAAACCCCTGCACGTTAAGAGCAAACAAAAAAAAAAACCAACAACAATGCACAACCACAACTCAAGAAAGCTCTTAAATGAGAGATTAGGACAAAGAAAAACCTTCATGCAGTCAAATCTCCTTGTCTGAAACCATAGCAGTGTATTTCCAAGGGGTGTGTAGCTTTCATTGCTTGAAAGGGGGGGGTGGCTTGAAAAGAAGTAAAAGGGAACAATACCAAGGAAGAAAAAAAAAGGGGATTGAGGTGTTGAATATATAACGGGATTTAGCAAAAACCAGATTTTCGAAGTCCAAAGATGTTTTAAAAAAAAAAAAAAAAGGGTTTTGTGTGTGTGTGCGTTAGGGGGTGGGGTCGGTATGTCTTGGGGGACCCCCTCGTCCAAATGGCTGTCACAAAAAGGGCTCAAGTATGAGTATTTTTTTCTGAAAGGAGCCAAAGTCGTGGACCGGCAGGGGAGGGCTGCATTCGCAAGAAGAAGAAGGGCCAACCAGCAAAAAAGAAAAAAACAACTTGAGATGGGAGGCAAAACATTGGGGCCTGAGGAAAAACGCAGAGGAGAGACTGAAATTAAAGAAAAAGGTTGTTATCCAAATTTCAGAGGGAACACTCCCAACATCATTAAAGAGAGTGCCAGGCTTAGGATACGCCCCAAAAAAAAATTTTTTCAAACTTTAACTACTTTCCCCACACACTCTCATTTGCTTATGCACTGCATCAGTGTGAATATTTCCATTTGCAAGCAAACGCAGGCTTATTCCCTGAAAGGGAGAGGAGAATCAAAAGATTGCGGCTCCTTTTCTTTTGCTTTCAGCCAACTGAACTCCCAGGCTTCTGAATAAATATTTCAAGTGAGAACGAAATCGGGCTTCAGAGTTCATTAACATTAACTAGTGCGCTCTTAAATTGGACAAAAGCAAATTGCCTTTCATAAAGTCAATATCAGCTTCAAAATGCTAACCAGGCTGCAAACCAAGGCTCTGAATAAACATCGCCATTTACTATCAAAAAACCTAATCTCATTTGGAAATAGGTGTCAAAAAATGCTAAATCATTCAGTTGATTGCCATCCGCCAACCTGCCACCCTGCGGGCTTACATTTTCTATAATGCAAGTTTTACATTACGAATTCATTCCAGCTGCCATGCATGAATGTAAGATCTATTGGTCTGGCTGTCGGGCTGTTTTACATACAAATACAGTCTATACACAGTCTGGCAGGGAGCATGACAAGGATCCTGCACATACATATGATGAATCAAGGGCAGAGCTCGTGGTTAGCAGATTTATCTGCGGGAGAAACACTTTTTTATTCTGACAGGACTGACAACCAAAATCATACATTTTCAAGGTTAAACGCATTGTTAGTAATATCTTAAAACCATTTCATTTTGTGGCTGGCAGACTGAATAGTAAATAAAATTAACTCCCGTGGGATGAATGAATGAATAATTAAGGATGAATTGTGCTGCTCTTTGCCAGCATCCTACTTTAGGATTTCAAAGAAGCTCTTAGGCATTCAGAAGGATTCTGTCCAGTTCAGTCAGTAACACACACTAGTATGGAGCATATAGTAAATGAGGCCATTGCCTGAAGTCTATCTCTTTTTCCACCGATAAGATCTCTTCTTCTGTTAGAGGCCAATAAAACAACCTGGTCTCCTGCCACATGGGAGCGTATGCTTGTGCAAGAGGACAGCGATACCTACTATTTTGCCTCCTCCCCTACAACCTTTTTCTTTTACAATTGGATCAGTTCTCAAGCTCAGTCTATTCAGTTCATCCGTGCAGGAGACACCGGGAGAAGAAAACAGAAGAGCTTCAGGATTATTACTGGCTGCTGAGGGCATCAGGGAAGAGTAGCAATCTCCAATAATTGAGTAATGTCATGCCTGCCTTAATCCTGTCATGCTCTCTGAGGTCTCAGATACAGTCTGAGGAGGTGAAGTGTTCGTTAAACTGGATAATTAAGACTGTACAGTGCCCTGTCTGCGACCAGAAAGTGGAAAAAAAAATGTAAGCACACAGAACGTCACGATGTTCCACAGAGGGTCGACAAAGTCTTTATCAGTGTCATAACTTTCCCCTATGTCTCAACTATGTCATAATAAGCAAACACCTAGAATGCCAAGAATATTAAAATAATCCCACAGTAGTCCTTACTATCTGAAAATTCAAAGTTTGAGAAAGACAACAGAATGAGAGCACCAGTCAAACTATGGTCTTGCTTTGTATTGCACACTAATGGATATATGTTCTTTCCATGGAATTTACTGAGTGCATACAGAGACGTACGGAAGGTCAGTTTTGGCTTGTAACTTTAGTCAAAAACCTTCAATTTTCAGTGAGTGTCTCCTTGGCAGACTTTGACAAAAACAATAAACTGGCGATGTTGAAGCAGATCAAGGCAAAAACCTTGCTTGCAGTGCTCAGCCATAAAATCCCAAAGACGAGGTTACATTGACTGTACACAAGAATGAGTGAGTCATGCTGCCAAGGTGTTGTGCTTCGCCTTCAGGCCAGAAAAGTGTTTTGAGCTTTGACAAGCTTCTGTTAGAGGCCTTGTGTACTCGCCCCTCTCCATCCGAGTTTTGACGGGAGCATTTCCAGACAGAACAAACAGCAGGTCAATTTGCTGTCATGCTTAAACGCCCCTCAAAGACATTCTACAGACAACTACAGCCTGCTATGACAGTTATCAGCCTCCATCAGTGAGCTCAGAACTGCAGCCACATCAATACAACAGCTGGCACAGTTTATGGTAGCACGTAACTGAAATAAATAGTCGCACTATCGCAGTAGAGACGAGTAAATGAGTTAATTAGAGAGAAGTTCCAACAATAACGTCTAGTGAGGAGGTCATAAACTTTATACGGCAATGCAAAATGCTGCAACAATAATACATAATTCAGTTTTGTTGTAAGACCCTAAAGACAGTTCAGATTGGGCAAAAAAAAACATAAAAAAGCTGAAAAGCTAGAAAATCTCAGCACACCACAGTGTAATAGTTGTATCAGCACTAGTCAACAACCTCTCAAAGCTGGGTGCAGATATTTTCTACTTCCCAGAACTTACAACATCCATAAATCAGGCCTGCTCTGCCCGCCTCCTTATACTGGACAGGGTTAACAAGGTGATCAAAGAGGCAGACGACTCAGACCACCCGCATACAAACCACGACCCAGAGCGGCCAAGATATCGACCTCAAAGCCGCTATTAGCTCAGCTCACCGTGGCTGTTCAGATAGGGTCATGTAAAGGAACACTAGGCAGCAATACGATCTCCCCGCTGTGGAGAGAAAGCATTAGCAGTGCTATCTGAGCCCATGATTTGCTCCATCTGGCATCATAAATGCAACGTGTAAGCGGTCTCTCATGGACTAGGCTGCACTATGGTACAGCAGGGTGGGGTAGTTGTAAAAGAGAGGCATGTTCTCAACAGCAGAAAACACAAACTGACAAGAAGCTTGGAGGATATCATTAATCCTACTACAAAAAAAGAGGATTGTTGTAGGTAAATGGTGCAAGAGCATAAAGAGGAAACCATGTTAATTGCTCAGGCTTGTGACTGTATTGTATGTCTCCGCTCATTTATAGTTATATATGCTTTAATCTCACATCCATAAATATTAATATTAAAAATATGCTGACGTAACTATGTGATGCAAGCAGCATTATGTAAAAAAACAAGAAAAAGCTTAACAAAAAATGTTTTTTGTCTTTGTTACGTGTTGTGTTTTGTGTTTGTATGATCTCTACAGAGACTCAGGTTGTTTTCTGAAGCTTTTGCAAGAGAACGAGACAACAGCTGAAGTGAGACAGATCTGCAGCTTGTATGTTCCTCTCTGAATCTCAATTTCCAAATCTCTCTCGTCTTACTCTCTCAGCTTCTCGGCCGTTTTATCCCCATCTTCTTGTCTCCTCTAATCTCTCCTCTCTGCGGCTCGACGCAGCTTTTTATCTACGTTCCAGACAAAAGCGTTAAAGTGCTGAATGGAGGGGTATATTTAGTTATGAAAATCCGCTGTGATAACAAACACAGGACAGGATTGAGAAAATAAAAATAAATCCATTTAAGGCCAAGTAATATTTCAATATGCAATAATTCAATGTTTCAGGTGGAACATAATCAGCTAAATAGAAAGTCTTACTGCTTGCACCATTCACAAGTAGAAATCACTTTTTCAATCACAGTCTCTGTGTTTGCTGAAGGTTTGTCCTGAAAACAAGGTAGAGCTGAAATTGCACAGCGTCCCCCTCAAGACAACAGGTGGGCTTTGAGTTGACAGAACGAGGAGAGTCTGTGTGTATGTGGAAGTTCACTACAGTCAACAGAGTTGTTTACAGTTGATACTGAGGTTTTCATTCAGTCAGTTTTGTAGCTGTGGACAAATGTCTGCAGCACAAACACAAGCTGACTTAGGCCTAACAAGAGGACACAAGATCCTAGACAATATGCTCATACAACTGTCTATGAATTGGTGTATTATTGCAACAGGGCTCTATAATGTATGGGTTTCACATAATATCAATGGTTTGCTTCTTATGGCTTTTTAGAAAACAACACTCAACACTAAATTCCGTTTTAATATACAAATACTATTCCATATGTTTTGTCTCATTCATTTTGTATGTTAGGTTCCTTCCTGGTGTTAAGTTTTATCCCATTTTTTTCCTATATTATGATGAAACATGCGATTTGGACATATCAAACACCTTTAAAAGCTTTCTCATTAGTAGGTATTGACCTGCATTCTGCTCTCTACAGTACAAGCAAAAGCTAAAACACCAAAAAGTACTTTATGTCTATAGAAGCAATAAAATAGGGTGAGACCAAACACTTACCTCGTCCCATTCTGAGGTGAAAGAGGGAGATTTCTCCAGCCTCTTCTTGCCAGTGCTACAGTTCGAAACAGACTCGCTACGGTTTCCCAATCCTCCTTCCTCCTCACTAGGAGGTGACACGAGCAAGTCGGAGTCAGACTTGGAGAGACTACGTGCCAGCTTCAGGTCCCCGGGAGGGCGCATCCTAACGGAAGACCCTGCCCCAGCTCCTAAGTCCCTGGGCTCCTTGTTCACAGTTGCGTAAATTAGCTTTTGGGTCACAGTCTGTCAGGATGGCGGCCATGCTGGGACGGCTAGGTGGCGGTGCAGCTGTTGCTTTTTCCTCCTTTACTTTGGTAGATTTTCTTGATTCTGGCGGGACCTGGGTGGATGGCTGAACACCTGGAAGCCTAAAGGGCTCCTCGCGGCAGTCGAAGACGGGGGAGGATCCGTGCAGGAGGCCAGTGAACTGCTCTGGGACACCTGCTCCCTGGTCCTGGCTGAGCTGAGAGTTATCTGGAGAAAGAAAAAGAATGGGCAAAGTCAGTGAAGACAGAAACTAGTTTGTGAGTGCTCGAAAGTGGACCTCTTAGTGAGGGGCAGATCCTTAGAGCAGGGCTAATAAGAAACCGCCCACACAAGCCCAGAAACTGATCTGTAATTGTTTTCCTACCAGAAAAAGAGGGAGAGAGGAGAGAAAGAGTAGGGAGAAGGCGTATGTTGGCTGGAGAAGTAACAGAATTCCAAACCCAGCTTGCAGCCGTCTGACGACTATCTGCTGGTGCCTGACTGCCTACGTATATTTTGTAACAGGGAGTCGAAGTTATTCATCTTTGTGACTAGCTTTACCTCACAGGCCTACTTGTCTTTTAAAGACATTTTTCCAAAATGACACAACACTAAGAGTTTCCCCCAAGCTACTGACTAAACTTTCATGCAAACTACTACTGCTACCCACAGGATACAACAAACACAGCAGAATATACAACAGAAAATTAAAAAGACTATAAATATCACCAAGAGGAGTGAAACTTACGTCGGCTTCCTTCTCCAACAAAAACAACTCCTTAATGAGACTGAATGGCAAGAGCAATTAAATACAATTAGATTTTCCTCCGCCCTCTCCCTGAGGAATTACTGCCACCTAAGCCTCTTTTCCACAATCAAATCAGCCAGGGGATCACAACGCGTGGTCCTGTAGTTCCTTCGCACTGTAGTGATGCGTGTTGTTGTTTGCCGTGTGACCAGCAGCCCTCTGTGTTTTCTGGCTTCTAATTCTAGACCCTAATGGTGGCTCAGGAATGGAAATTTGAATCACCCTATCCTCCAGCAGCCAGACTCCTGATAATTAGCCCTGTGACACATGGTAAAGGAGTGTGTATGTAGGATGTGTGTGTGTGTGTGTGTGTGTGTGTGTGTGCGGACTGTCTCTGCCAGGGTGACAGGGTCAGGGTGTTTGGTGACAGGGAATCTGGGGCAGTGACACCACAGGAAAAGTAGTGACCTGTTGCAACACTTTGTTTGTCCTTCACAGAAGAGTTTCAGCAGACGCTCTGCCGACCATTCGAGGCTGTCTCAGCTCCGCTATCTCTCAACCTGCTGTTCAAAGACTGAACACATCAAACAAGGTGGCTGCGAAGGAGTCATATCTACAGAACATGACGGGAGGAAGCATACCACTCAACTGTTTGACACGCAAACCCACTCTGACTTTACCTAACTGCCCCATTACTGTTTCAGGGGCAATTTGAATGTGCCAACCAACGCCCTGAACTCCCTTTTCACAATTTCTAAACACTTGAACATCTAGGGAAAGTGTGTGTGGGTGTTTGTGTGTGTAATGAGGGGTGAGTGAGTGTACTGTGCACATATGTCAGGACCACGGCCAAACACCCACCCTCTCCTTGGCAGCCAGGGAGTGTGAACGCCCAATGAGCACATCATAGCGGTTCCAACAATGTCACATGGGGTTTAGCCCTTGCTGAGACCACTGCGCCCCCCTACTCACACAGTCCTACGGTGGAAAATGTGCACAGATGCAATCTGATGTTATTGCAGCTCTTAAAGATGGGTGAGGTCACCACAGAGGTGTGGATGTGTATTTCATTTGGCAACAAGAGCTCCATGTCTTACCAATGATGTCATGTTTGTTATGCAGACACAGCAGTGCTGGTGCTGGCTGTCAACTCCACCATCTACATAGTCCAAAGTCAATTCATGCTCTGCCAGTGGAAACTCTGCTCTGTTTTTATTGTAGATTCAAAGACATTTTCAACTCTGGGACATGTACTGCAGAAAGCCAATAAGGAATCTTATTGATATTTCGACATTTACAGTAAAGTGAGTAAACAAATACCGCTATTGACAGTGCCAGTCAATAAAGAACAATATACCCGGTTATCATATCAATTTATGTAAAAGGACGCGCGTGAGTAAAACTGATAACTGGTATAAAGCATATGGTTAAAGCAATGGTTCAGAAAAATTGTACATTTTATGCTCACCGTTTATGTAATATGATGGTTGTTATAGGTGCAAAACAGGTGCTTTGCATTTTCAGCCTGTCTGCATCCATCTGTGGCAATGCAGTTCAAAACCACAATACAAACTGTATATTTCTGAACCAATTCTGAACCAATTCTGAACCATTAAAAGGTTTGAATGAACCATGGATCGAGTGCTTTTTGGCATGAGAGGGAACTGACACCGCAAAAGCTGCATATCCAGTATGAAGAAAAGAATGACTGTCAAACTAAATGAGAAGCAAGTATTAAATATGGATACACTTAAAAATGTAGAACCAATTCTTTTTGGATTTGCTTCTTCACTATTGCTGTTAATAACTACTACAGGAACCCCCACATTTATTATTGTCTGTGGAGAATCATAGGATGTTACTACTTGTGAGAAATATCCAATGGAAACCCTATAAAACACATGCCGCGGAGGTGAAAATCTGTTGGGAAACACTATATTCCTGCTGAGAACAGCAACGCGTTTGTGACAGATCATAAACACCCTGATATCGCTGACCATGCATATATCTCCTCCACCTGCTACATCGTGCTCAGGTCCGGTCCCTGACTGTCCACATAGGACCTCAGA